GGTTAATACGGTGGCAGCGGGGTATGAATCAGGACCAACACCTGTCAAGGATTTACGGAAACACGCTCTCTCACTCTCTCTGCTGTTATATTATTTCCGAAATCAAAGGAACGGGAGTCGCGTATACGTGCATGAATATGCAATTTCGGTCGACGGGTGGTCGCGTGTACCAGTCACCCTGTGAATTCCAGCCCTCTCTCCCGCTCCTCCCCCACCCCGTATATCCGGTAAAAAAGTTTGCCTATTATAACATTACAATGTAATTTCCGGAATACAGATTATCCTATTGTTAGAGAAAATTGTATTGTATAAACTGTATGTTCATGCTAATATTATAACAACAACTAAATTAAAATAATTTATAAAATTATTAGAATATAGACTATATTATTATTTAACTCAATAAGATTATTAAATCTATGATTGTTACTTTAATATATAATTACGTTTAATATATTGTTTTATGTATGTTTATTGTGCGTATGCATGTTAAATAGTATACTAAATGAACGCCTACTATTTAACAGATTATCATTTATAATATTTGAATCTCTCGTATGCAATGATTAATAGGAACGTCACTATTATACGACGTACGCGACATCAAGAATATCGACATTATTATTACACTAACCACTAAATTACTTGAGGTCTTGTATTCCGAAGCACATCATCTTTCAAATATCTCTTACGTCGTTCATTAAAACAGGGGTTTAGAAACGCGACATATATATGTACCATTGCGACTGTTACTGCTCTTACATCATTTTTTTTACGGACGCCTTTCTCTCGCATTGATGTAAGAGAAGCCCAAGGGAGAAAAATCACACGGTCTCTGCGTTTTAAGAAAAGAAGAAAAAAGAAAGAACGAATTTAACGACATAGAAGTAAAGCGACCATAAACGATTAAGGCCGCAACCGGATGAAGCATCTCGCCCGTTATATATTGGGGTACGAATAAATGCCTATCGTGCCCCATACCGATTATCGATGCCTTGTTGTCAAAGTGACATGTTCATCATCCGCTGCGCAATCTTCTTTACATTTTTCTACTACCTGACGACGTTGTTTCCGCCCATTTTTTATAGAAGCTTTTCTTTGTTAAGATTCTTATCGATGTTAAGCAAATTAATAAATTATTAATAAAAAGTTTTAATTGATAAATAGACATTTTTTTATTCAAATCGTTTGTCAAATTTAAATTTTCTTAAATTAAAATAAGAAATATTTCTATGTAAAAATGTAAAATTAAGAATTAATAAGAGTTCAGCTAAAATATTGAACAAGATGTAAAATATAGACATTAATCTGATCTCTCGTTAATCATATATCTAGGCACGCACATTTTCTCCGCAGCTGTAAGCCTACTCGTGCGCGCTATCGGTTAAATTGATTTTCATACAATTAAAATTTTAAAATCCCGCAGCAAAACACACCGTCACCTGCCGTCGTGGAAGTACTCCATCGCGCACCTGCCTCGATCGCGAAATATTGTTCAGAATTAAGGTGGGTCTTATTTACTCTAAGTGAATCGATGTCAATCGTTCGCGATGGAAACGTATAGGTGCAGCTGCCCTCGCCCTATTGTTACGGACTATGCCGGATGCATTACTTATATACGCGTGATCGCGACATGCGCATTTAATGAATGATAATTCGTGACGGCATGCAGGTATTGCATAAGAAAAGCAGCTTTTATTAGAAATTATTTCTATAAGTATATATATTTAAGTAATATGTATGCATTTTACAAATATTATAACTTTGCTATAGAGAAATTAATCCACGATTCATCATTCAAATAAGAATTTGGAATAATTTGTAATATACATCAATTATATCACATTTTGATGGCGATTTAAATTATCGACAGCATGTTACATTTTGAATGTTACCTGTGATGCGAACGTGAGACATCGAATGAAGGGCGTACTCAAAATCGGTGAACTCAACCCGTCGACAAGGGTAGCGAAGAAGAAGACCAAGAGGAACCCATCGCGCAGATGCCACACAAACACACGCAGGATTCTTTTCTGTTCTTGAAATAATTTTTTTCTCGAATCACTTCCAGTCGCGCGATTTCTGAACAATCGCGCGCGGCTGTAATTTGCGGGCCCGGCAGAAGGAGCGAGAAAAACGGGGGTTCTCCATGTTGAATCTTGCTTTAAAAAAAACTTATTTTCGTGTAAACAAGACCTTTTGTACTGTAAAAAGAATATATGTTATTTTTTGCAAAAAAAAAACGCGGGAAAATGCTTTTTGCCATTAACATTAAACAGGATCGCCGTGATCAATTAATTGATTGTAAAAGAAAGTGACAAAACAAATAAATTTTTTGACACTAGTTCAAGTCTCAAGACTATAAATTATTATATAATTTATTAATTAAATTATTATTATTAAGAATTATTACGCAATTGCTCAATAAAAAAATTTAAAAGTATATTTTATGTTTGCAAAACAGTCAACGATTTTAATAATTTTGTTATCAATTTTATATTACTAATATTAATAATAAAATAAACTGTAATATTGTCAATTTCCTATATAGAGAAGAAGTCATTAAAAGTTGTACGAAAAGATATAATAAAGATATGCGATAAATAGATTACTTTTTCCTTTTAATAAATATAAAATTTGAAATGAAAAATTATTTTAGAGAGATAATTTTTTAATGCATTTTCGGATTTGAAATAGAGGATATTTTCTGCAATTTTGCTACAAATAACTGAGGTACTTGTGTGCTTTTCTAGAAGAAACTTTTAACGTCTCGTTGCGTTTTAGCTTCTGGTCGAAGACGAGCGTAACAGCCGATCGCGTGTTAGATGAACGGGTTCTTTGTGTTCATAAACGTTGATGTGGCAAACCGTTTCTAATTACGCGCCTCAACGACATGCGGGGCCTTGTGGTCGCATCGTAATGCAACAGCGGCCCATTTCTGAATAATAGGACCATATTAGCTACCATGATCCCTCATTGATCTACCGTCTCGATCGGCGTACAGTCGATGTATATACACGATATATGCGTGATGCGTTTATGCCTGTTAAGTCTTCTAAATTCAGCAAGATGTCATCAATAATCGATACATATACAATATTCTGCAATATATATAACATAATATGTAACATAAAATTTAAAGAATAAAATAAAATTGTATTTAATATTAAACATGATCTATCTTTACAGAATTAAAAAAGATTCACATTTAATAATGTTATATATTGATTACTGAAGATAATTATTTTATGTTCATTCTATATAATATGTAAGTGTCGGCTTAGCCCCGGTCTCCCCTATTCTATATACATAATTTGAATTTGTTATACTTGTATAAGTAATCTGTCTTGTATGTCTACAAAAGACTCGCATATTTAATAATTTAAATAATTAAACTAATTTGAGATTAAATAAATATTAGTTTGCAAATTATTTGCAATAAAATTTAATAAAGCAAATATAGGGGCACGTATAAATACGTGTCTACAGGCATCTTAGAATGCAGCTGTCCCGCATGTATCAATTGATCCGATGCGGTTTTCCGACGGTTCCGTGTCATTTTTCACGTCACCGTCGCGAAACTTTTGCGAAGTTTCGAACGTTTCGATGTCGAATCGATCGGCCGGGTCGGCGATAGAATAATATTTGCTCATCCTCCTTGGATAAACAGATCGAGTGTCTGGGGAACGTTCTGACGCAACTTCGATGCACGCAGCTTGCGAGCATACACGAGGTCAAGTCTTGTCAAAATCGATGAAGTTTTTTTTTATATAGATAAGAGAATATCTCGATCACAGCTGCTCAATTGTGGCAGTAAATGACAAAGATAAATATATTTTTGACACTGTGTAGTTTTTAAAATATTGACTTCATGTGAAATAACTTAAAACTACATTCTACTTTTTAATAATTCCAGCCATGAGTTTTAATTCTTTTTCATGAAACAAAACAAATTGGCAGCAAATAACAGACATAAATTTTGTCTGATAGATTAAACGATTCTTTCCTATCATTTTCGATTCGTACATTGCCTTCTGGCGAAATCTCGGACGTGTTGCAGAAAAGGATGGAAAAGGGAAAATGAAAGAATTTGCCGGCATGTTATTGATTCGCGGTTCTGGCATAAAACCACCAACTGTCACATTGATGACTTCAATGGATCGTGATGGATCTTTCAAGAGCCCTGGTCCACAGAATCTAGACCGTCATCGAGAACAGGACGAATCTGTCCGAGTAATTGGACCTTCTGAATGAAAGACGAAGAAAGGAAGCGACGGGTGTCCTTGGCACGTGCCAAGCGCGGGAGTTCACAAAGGACTCCTCCTTGTGTCGCCCCAGGATTCGTCTTAACGTGTGATTTTCGGAGCAACGGCCGTGATATTGGCGGTCATACGACTTTGAGGCTTCCGCTTATTTGTGGTCAACCAAATCAAAACCTTTATCTTTCGGTGCGAAGCCGGTGACTTGCGGTTTTAACGCGACTCTATTCTATTGATACGTAGAAATCGAATTCTGGAGGATATCAATAATATTTATTCTGAAAGATATTTTGTCTGTTCGATAAGGTCGATATAATCTTTAAAAATATTACCGCAATATTAAAAAAAATCAAGTTATCGCAAACGATCGGAAAAAATTTTGAGTTAAAAACTTTATTCAAGATTATTAGTTCAACACTCATCTCGCATTTAAACGCGAGAGGCTGAAAAATTCTAGTATACGATCAGACGATCGAGACACCCACCAACACTTTTGATACCGAAGATCATTGGATCTCCGGCGTTCACTTGGGACGATTGGAGTGGCCGACGTGGTCAAGTCAGGTAAGGAGGGGGAATCGAGCATGAGAAAGACAGAGAGGGACTTCAATTACCAGGAGGAACAGAGACAGCGAGCTGGTCCCTCCTGTTCTGTAGGTTCACCTACGGACCCCTTCTACATAAGGCCCCGACTCTCACCCCACTTCGTCAGTGTAGAGGCGGCCGTTGAAGTGCCACGTTACGGACACCTTAGTGCCTTACGATACCTCGAACGTGATCCGAATAGTGTGGACAATAGAAAATTGTATTATGTGGGACATCGTGCTCTCGAAAAAGTGATTCGTTCTTGGTTGCTGTGTCTGATGTTTAGCTGAACGTCCTGGCGCCAAGGACGCAGTAAGTAGCCTGCTTCGTTCATTCTGTTTTTTTTCTTTCGTCGCGTAGATAGAGCTCGTGGGTGCTGACCGGTTTCGTGAAGCTCGACGTAGAGGTCGAAGTGCGATACTCGAGATTAGTGGGAGAAAGGAATTTATATTCGACGAAAGGCGAAGGGAATATAAATTTGAAAATTTCATGCTTCTTGTCTGGCAAAATATTTTCTGTGCATCATTTGATTCTTCTCATTTAATTAATACTCACTTCAGATTTAAAATTTAGTTGACAATCTAGTTGTTTTATTATATTTTTATTAAGCATTAGTAATATTTGTTATAATATTATTTATAAAGTTGTGTTTCTAAAGTTGTGTGTATATGAATTAAGAAATATCAGATAAATTAAATTTTTAAGAAATAAAATTCTGTTCACAAAGTAATTGTATATTTTTAGTCCAGTCGAGAATTTAATTCCTGATTTAACTACCAACAAAGCCGATATAATTTAATAAATAATTTAATAAATTTTATTTTTAATTGAAAGTTTTTAATCATTTATATTGACAAAAATTTCTATTTTCAATGTTAAACCACATTATAATATGATAAGTGAATAACCAGATAAATTCATTATAGAAAGTTTTGAGTATAATATAAATCAGGTTTAAAATGTATAGTTTTTAAATTTAACTATGTATGACTAATCTTTTTTAAATTTTACAGTTTTAATTCACATTTTTTATATGACACTGTCCAATTAAATTTTAATTTTTATCAGAGAAATAGAAATCTTAAATGAATTAAAAAATGCATTTTTGCAGTTTCACATAGTTTTAATAAAGTCTGTTTTTTAAACATCAAAAAATCGCACTTTGCTTCCACGTTTACGTCAGAAATCTCACGACCCTTCTGTTCGAGGGAGTAAGCGATCGCTTAATTGCTCGACGGTTGAGCCTTGCTCATGTCAGAACTGAAAGTTACCAGTGAAACAATAGCGCCTGCCTGCTTGCACATTGCAGCTATTATGCATGGTTGAGAAGGGTGCGCTCATTTCTTTTTTCTTCTTTTTTTCGCGCACTCCTTCTTTCCTTCGCGAGTCTCTCTCCCTCTTCAGATTATGCCCTCTTTTTATCTGTCATATTAATCCGTCTCGGTGCGCGATTGTCTAGCACTTTCTCAGACGAAGGGATTCCCTCTCATGTAAATCAACCTTCCTTCTCTTTCGGCTTTTCATGGATCGAACATGTGTATCTGTTATCGAGATTCGTCTATTGAGATTTATTTCTTTTTAGAAGCAAACCAAGTATAAGTGATTAATGAATTGGAAGTAATATAGATTTTTCGATACGACAACTATCAATAGGAATTTGTACGACAAGACGTGATTGTGATTTATTCCCTACATATATGTGTATACAATTAATATCTGCCTGTATGGAAAATCGGGCATGCATTCTTATTGAATTCTTTGAGAAAAAAAGAGAGTAAAATTCTATCCCTATTTAATTTATTTGAACAAAGTTTATTACCACATTGATGAGATTACGCAATCTTTAAAAATATTTATTCAAAGAATAATCATGCATAGAAAGCATTTAAATAAATTTATGACCAATTCATGATTTTTACAAAATGTTGTGATGATAAATTAATTAAAAAATAATAATAAAGTAAATAATTAATTAATTCATGTAGATAAATCTTCAAGAAAGATATACATCAAATTATTTAAGTTTATTAAACTATTCAGTTGAAAATATAATGCAGAATTTCCGAGCATATATTCATATCTATATTACTTATATTATAATTTTTCAATATTAATGAAAAAATTAATTTGAGAAATTGAATTGAGTTTCCGAAGTTTCCACACACGCACAAATTACTTTCACTCTCATTCATATCACTCAGTGCAACATTATGCGAAGTTTTGCGGACAGAATAATTTCGTATTATATCCTTACGTATATTATCATATTATAATAAGCCCCCTCAGAGCACTGAGAGGGTTAATATGGAGATCCATCGGACATGAGCTTACGCTCGTTCTTATTCACGGTGCAAAATCGTGGGCACCATGTGAAAAACGTGGCCGGTCTCGCGAGCGAAATCGCGGCGGCGATAGGGAGGGGGGGGGTTCCAGGAGGGGTGAGATCGGGAGTCGTTGAGGAGTGTCCGGAAAGTAAGGAGCGGGCTTCCTCTCGCCGGTCGACCGGTCGAACAAAGGACAAGTGCGTCCTCGAGAGCGATGTTAGAACCTCGTCTAATTGTAAGACAGTCCTTTTTGATCCGAGCGACACGCGGGCCCACGGGATTCAAAGGGAGAAAAGGGCAAGCACGCGTGCGCCTCGCACGTACATCTGCCGGCAAGGTGGGGGAATTTCGCAAGACGACGACGACGACGACGACGACGATGACGACGACGGCGATGGTGAAGAAGGGGCGCGGAAGAAGGAGATGGTAGCGGATGGCTGAAAAGGGGGGGGGCAGTCTCGTGGGTCCTATACAAACTTTCCTACGCCGAAGGTGAGGACCCCGTAGGTCCACCTCGAGGAGCCCCTCTCTCTCTCGGGTTCGGCGTTCCGCCATTTAAATACCCCTCGGACGCCGTTGCCAGGACTCGTTTCGCCGTCATTGTTCCTACCTTATTTTCGAGTCTCGTCCTGAATATCTCTCCGAAGTTCTCTGAAGGATACGGAGTGTGCGTGTATGAGAGACGTCACACACTCGCGAAGAGAGAGAGAGAAAGAGAGAAAGAGAGAGAGAGAGAGAGAGATTCGCGAGTTTCCAGTTTATTCCCGATCGACCTCCGCGCATTTGTTCTCTTTTCGGCCATGGGTCATTCTTCTTGTTTGATGGGTCGGCCAGCCGCCTTCCTCATGCGCACTCTCGCATCGTCGAGTGGATCGTATCTTGAAAATTAAATTCCACTTTGGCTGCTCCCGGCCGTCTAAGCACGGCGTATCCAAGATCGACGTCCATAATGGAATACAGTGAGCAGAATACATAATGGACCATGAATTCAAGTCTGAATAATTCAAGGTATATCAAAATGATTTATAATCTTGAGAGAGAAGATACTACCGCGGGCAAAGTGTGCCTGAATGAAGACTCTGATATAACTAATTTATCATCAGAATATCACTAAATATGTATTTTGATTATCAAGACAGATAAGTCTAAATAAATTTCTATATATTCATGTAAATAAGCGATTACTACTGTTATTTTTACATAGAAAAAAAGAGCAAGCTCAATAATTAAAAGTTTAGAGAAAGATAATTTTCACTTTATGTTGCTCGTTATCTTTCGACTTTTTCTAAGACAAGTTTTGAAGCTGATACGACTAATCAGTTCTGCAATATTTCGAAATCAGACTCGTCGAAGATCGTATAAGATAATCATTTGCTTTAAAGACGCCAAAGAAATTCGACCCTCAAATTACGCATCTTCGCGAATCGGGAAAGCCTGTTAACAGATCATGGGGTTTTACTTCCTCGGGGAACGCGCGTAGATCAGGCTGGGAGATGGTGGGGAGGCGCGCGACATGGGAACACGCGCGATCACCGGTGGGACAGGTGTGCTCCAAATAACGCGCGGGCCCAAGGCCTGTCTCCTCTCTCTCTCCTCTGTCGCACGACATGTTTTCTCTCTAGACGCGCGTTTCCTTCCTTCTCGTTGCCAAACTCCGCTCCCCTAATCTCTCACTGTCGCTGACGGTGCGAGCAGTAGCCTCTAGCGAGTGAATGCGGCTTTGATTGTCGTCGGTTGGGTCCCCAAAAACCACCCTCCCCCTTCACGGGGAGCATTTCGAGAAAATGGCGCTAGCAAAAGGTGCGCCTGGGGTCAATCCAATATAAATCAGAACCGAGTCTTGAGGCTTAGTCGAAGAGAGAGAGAAAGAAAGCGAGAGAAAGAAAGAGAGAAAAAGAGAGAGTACGTGTATGTGAGGAATCAAAGTGGGGGGAGGCCCAGAAGAAAGGGGGCGACGATGAATAGAGTATTTTCGGAACCGCTCGCGACCTATACATCGAGATGCTCGCGTATGTGCACAATCGTCTACGTGTTCGTGATAACGTGAAAGAGAATCAGGTACGAGACTTCCACCTGCCTCCTCCCCGCTTCGCCTAGCGGGGCTCCGAGGATCTTCGCTGGTATAAGAATTTGGTGTTTCTCTCGCGTTCGAAATGCCGCCGGCCGTTATTCTTCTCTTTTATATGTTGAGGATGACGTTGAGTTGCTTCTGGATCTTTTTTGAGGATACAAGACTTAGGGGAATTTGGTTATCAATTTCTCGATTAAGTCTTAAAGATAACTTCTTCTAAAGGCTCAGAAGCCTTTGTGTTAAAATTTCTAGGGTTCAGAAGTGATATCACGTTCTTCACATTTTCATTCTTGATGTTTGAAAGTTGGAGATTGATTCACAAATGGTTATTGTTGGATATCGAAGCAGATGATATGGATAAGAGACATGTATTCATATTCTTTATCGCTAAAGGTGCATCGTATTTATTTTCACTCTCTCCACATGATGTATAATAAACACTTTTACTTATTTTTTTATCAGTTTCGATATTTGATGTTCGAAAATATGTTTCGCAAATAGTCCCTATCAGATACAGATGGCAGCGACTTGGAGGCATCCCACGTTTCACATCACGTTTATATATGTATAGGTATATGAACTAGATAATTTTCTTTGGTTACGTTATATTGGAGAACAATGACAAATGAGCGAATTAAAAATCTAGCACTCCGTTTTATACTTTTTACTTTAAATTATTCCAAGATCTCTTATAGTTCAAAGATAGCTATTATAATGCAAGTGCAATATATTATGCAATTTGCAATATTGTGGTACATTAGTTTGTAAAAAGTATTCATAACGGCGGAAAGATTGTATAAGTTTTATTTCGACGCGATTTAAATACGTAAACGCGATGAGAAAAATCTGTAGCTTTGGAAACACCTTCGAGAAATAACTAAATAAATCGTCAGAAGGGGGAGAGAGGTAATTTGTTT